CTTTAATAAATAAATAAAAATTAAAAAAAAAAAACCAGCAGAGAGAGTGAAAAGCACCAGCCTGGTAGTCTTGTCAGTGTTTGAAGATCAAGAACTCAGAGACCCTACTATAAGCGGAGGTGGTGTGGGGTGGTGTGTGGTGCTGAAATTTATTTATTTTACTTTTAGAGATCAAAATTTGGGCTCCAGAGCGAGGCCAGCCCAAGTCTGAAGTCTGGGTCCTGTCGTCAGCTGCCTGTCCTTAGGCACATTATTCTCCCTCTCTGACTCTCAGTTTGATGACTTAGTTACACTTGCCTCTGCTTTTGCGCAAAATGAGAATAATGCCACAGACCTGGCAGGAGAAAGGGGACGGGCACCAAACGCTGGTCTCGCAGAATACACATCTACTAGGTGGCACCTCTTGTGGGCACGGCTTTTATGAACTCCAGGTCACAGTTTCTCAGTACTGCATTAGAGCACAGACACAGCCTCACTACGTTACTTTTGTGTGTGGAGATTTCTTGCTCCTTCTGTTGCCAGAATCATCTCAAAATCTTTGGGTTTCTGTCCGTTAGCATATAGGCAGTTTCAAGGTTTCCCCCATAGCCCTCCCTCGTGTTTCCTTCCAGTCATGATCCAGCCCTTCCTCACCTGGCGTCAACCATCCCCAGAAGCTATCAGTTCCATTATCTCTACTTCTCCCCTTGGCTTTCTGGTTTTCCCACACTGCTCTAGCTGAGGTCACCTCCCGGTGTCAAATCAAAGGGCAGTTGTGGTACTGGGGGGGGGGAACAGTCCCACCTTAGCGGCATTCACTGCCAGGAATCTTAACCTGCCCCTCCAAGAACACTTCCTGGCTGCCGAGACTGCTGCCCTGGCTTTCTTCCCACCTCCCATCTCTTCTTCCCCTAGCCCGTCAATATCGGGTTTCCCAGCAGTCTCTCCTGGACCACTGCATCTGCTCCCACGACGTCACTCCACTTGTCTTAGGCCTGATCTGTTCTAGTCACAACACTTTCTGACTACCAGGACCGCGTATACTTATCTCCTAGGGAAGTTCCTCTTGAATGATTTATGGACGATGTGTCCAACACAGAAATCTTTGCAAACCAGAAGGGGTTCCCTAGTTCAGTAAATGCTGTTACCTCATCAGGTCAGAAATTGGCAGATAATCTCTCCCCTCCTCCTCCTCCTCAAACACCGCATCAGTCATCAAGTCTGGAGAGTCTGTCAGCTAACTATTCTTGGGATTGTCCCCTTCTCTCTTGCCCTGCCTTGGTTCTGATCACCACCAACGTTTCAAGACCCCAGCCAGACTGCCCCACCTCCACATGCACATCTGCTCCTTGCCAACCCTCTGCCTCTGCTTCAGCTCCTGAATGGGATGTGCAGGACCCTGAATGATGTGATGAGGAGTAATAACCGAGAGGACACGTAAAGAGTCAGCTGTGGAGCTATGGGGTATTATATTGATCATTCCAAGCTTGCCCAGCTAGTCTCCATACTGGGGGTGGTCGGGGTATTTCCAGTTTACACTGTTATAAATAGGCTCGCTAAGGACATTTTTCTTTGTCCACTACTGGATAATTTCCTTGGGATATTTTTTTTAGGAATGGAATTACCAGTGAAAGGCTGTGATTAGCTCCAACGCTCTATTATACACTGCTGGTGTTCCAAAGGCTGGGGCTAGAGGGCCACTGCCTAAATGCCATCTGCTGCTTGAGAGTCTCTTCTGTGGCTCCGCAGCTTCTCCCTTCTCTGTGCCAGCGGGCTCACAGTGGACCCCTGACGCTGTTAAAGTACGGACTTTTCAGGTGATGGTGGGCTATGCGCACACTCTCGACAAGCAGATTATTACCTCAAGAAACACACTCCCCAGTTTGCAAACAGTTCTCTCTTCTGTTTCATTTTGACTCAGAAATGTGGGTTTCCTTTTGACCAATTATAAAATAGAGAAAGCGAAGTCAGTAAAAGCATGCCTGGTGTGGGAGGCCCAAGTGTTTAGCTTGTCAAGAAAGTCTCTGCTAGGTCCTTTCTGCCTGTGGCTGGGTTAAGAATGGAGCCTGCGGTTCACCCTCAGAGTTCCATGGTGAATTTGGCAGTGAAAGGAGCAGGGTCACATGCCTGGGGGTAGAGGACCCCCACACGCCCATTACTGTGATGGGACAGGGTGACACCGTGAGTTATGAACTTCGATTGGCTCTGGTTCCCAAGCATTCTGTTTAGTCTATTTTGGTAGCTAAGCTGAACTACAAAACGTTTCATTCACTATGGGGAAAGGTAATCCAGTTCAGTATTTCAGTGATCTACCTCACCCTCCGCCTTCTAAAGTGCTCCCAACACACACACACACACACACACACACACACACACACACACACACACACACACAGAATCTTGGAGACAGTGTGTCTCAAAATGTATTTCAGGCTGGTCTCCTACTCATGATCCCCCTGCCTCAGGCTTCTGCGTGCTAGGATTGCAGTCTACACCATAAGGCCTGGTTTGCCAGTGTCTTTTTCTTTTCTTTGTAACTGAATTAAAGGAACCTTGAAGGTGAGTTTCTTTTTATTTTTTAAACAAGGATGGAGAGCATAATATGAATTAAGTCGATAGTGACTTGAGAGATTTTGTTCATATAAAATAATGGACACATAAATCTCTTCTGCCTGAATGCTATGAGAGCAGTAACTCTAAATAAGAGTGAACACAAAGTGAAACCTGTCTGTTCTCCTTTATTAATTGGGTCTTTCTGAGTCTAGTAATCAAACATGTCTCCGCATTTTAATCACCCCAGATCTATTCAATGGGGCAACTATTTAACTGCTCAAGGACTAGATAACGTGACCAGTGAAGGTATCAGCAAGGCCCAAACTCTTCCTTTATTACTTGACTGTTGTTATTTTAGATAGGGTCTTACACAGCCCAGACTGGTTTTCGATTCACGACCCTCCCGCCTTAACCTCCTAGATGCTGGGATTACAGGTGTGCACCGCCATGCCTAGGTCTCCTGTGTTTTTAACCGAGTGGTTCACAGAACATGCGCTCTTAGTCATCTCTTCTAAAGTCTTTAGGATCGGGGCAAGGCAGATATAAGGGGAGGAACAGAGCTTTTCTTCTCTATTTGATAGGACTGTAGACCCCTTAAAGTTCCGGCATCTGGTCATAGGTGATTTACTTCTGACCTAACAGTCTCTTTGATCTGGAAACCTCCTCTTCCCCACACACTGGCCAATGCCAATAGATCTCCCTTTTCTTAAGTAGTCATTGTGACCTTCTGTAGAGAGTTACAGTGTCAGGACGAGTTTGGGAAAGACCAACCACTGGCCGTATTTTTATGCTGAGCCTATGCACGAACCAGACTCTCACCTGAATGAGGAGATCGGTAGCGGAAATCCTCTTTGGTCAGCAGCAGGAGCGCCTTGCCGTTCATTTCGAACGTGTTGCTCTCAATGGGCCTTAAAGAAAACTCGTTTTCCGCCCACTTGAGCCACTGGGCTACGTCATCTCTGCTCCAGTAAATCGGCTGCAAGCCTGTTGGAGAGCATAAGGCAGAGAGAAAAGATTTTGTCAGTTACACAGGTGGGACAAAGCAGGGTGGGGGATAGTCTTGGAATAATGAACAGAACCGAGACTTTCTGTCTCAAGAGCCTTCGGTTGAGTCCCAAGGCCCAGGTTTGTAAGGGCTTAAGCATGGGTCACATTAACTTTCTACTTAGAGGAAGAAGAGGGGAACCCCTTTCTACTTGTTTCAGGGATGACAGGTCTTCTTAAGAGTCTGTCCCTGGGGCTGCACTAAGGTCAAGTTGGCTCTAACGTGGATGAGGGCACCACAGAAGGCCTGGAAGCATGACACATCTCAATGTATTTAGCAGGAGACTTTAGACTCAGAGCTGATGCGATTGTGGCCCAGAGCCCTTTGAAATGGAAGTGTTCCAGAGCTGGTCTTGACCCCCAGAGCTGCCAAAGATGAAGCATCCCCTAAAACCTTTTCCAGGAAAAGTCATCTACTCAGCCTCTGGGAAGTGGCAGGCTAGCCTCTGGCAAATGCGAAGCCAGAGTAACACAGAAGGTCCTTTGACTCACTGTTTGTCTTGCTGATGGACTGGAAGTGGGTCAGATGTCACCAAAGGGGTGGTTCAGGTTGTATCTCTGGGAGGCAGGGAGTCTGAGTTTTTAGTTCATTTTGCTGCTACGGGAAACTTTGATAAATCCTTCCAGTGATTAGAACAATAGTTCTCAAAGTGTGACCCTTAAGAATCCTCTGGGTTCCCAAGATCCTTGCACAGTGCCTGTGCAGAAAATACGCTTTTCAGAACAATAGCAACATGATTTTCTCTTTTTACCCTCGTCCTTTCATGGGCACATAGGGAATGTTCTAGGGGCTACATGACCTGCGGTATCACAGCAGGCTGAAGTTCACAGAGATGGGAGTCCAGGCCTCTTCTATTAACCTGGACATTGACGAGGTTTGTGAAAGCATTTAACACTGCTTTTTGCTTTTCTTTTTACTGTGTTTGCATATATCTTTTAAAATATATGCTTTGAATACATACTGATATATGCCTTGTTTGCTCTCAGTAAGTTAGTAAATACTTTAAAAAGCAGTTTATAATATGGTAAGTGTTGCTGTAAGTTACAGGGGCAAAACCTCTTGCGTAGGGGGCTGGGTGGGGATTTGGGAAGAAGAGTCTTTGATAATTATTTAGACCTTGAATCCTGACAGTGCAAGGACTTTATCTTCCAAAGTTACAGAATCCAGAGTTCAACAAGAGCTCAGTGGGACCAGTGTCCTTGCAGAGCTACCGCACACGTCTTAAAAATGTGCCCTTCAGCTCAATCCTGGAACAAACCACTTTTCCTCCTAAACTGGGCATGATAAAGTACTGTCTGATCCCTTGGATGCCCAGGCTGTTGAGACTGTGGGACAAATAGCTCAGATGCCAGGGAGTCTTCTCAGAGTCTTCCAGGCTCTGACCGTGACTGCTGGCTCCACCTTCCAAGAGGAAGATGGTTTTGGAGAACAGAAGTCCCCAGAAGACTCCTTACAACCAGTCAATTGGCTGGGCCTGCTAACACAGCTACTTGGAAAGGAATGCAAGGCCACAAGTGGCTGCCTGGGCTACAGAGTGAGTTCAAGGTCAGCCTGGGATCTCAGTGAGACCTCAGCCCAAGTCCAAAGAGGACTGGGGTTATTGTACTATGCGTGAGGTCCAAGTTCCATCCTCACTACCCTAAAATCAAAGCCACCAATCTAATCCAAACTCCAAGAATTTGAGTGTGTTTTCTTGGCTTTTAAATTTTATGGCAATGTTTTTCATATGGACCAAACAAGTAGCATTATGGGGTAGCTACTGTAATACGTGACTGCTTTTTGACCTTTAGGAGGAAACAGGATCACTAAAGGATCTGAGGTCTTGTTTTTGGTTCTTGATTGGTCAGAAAGCAATGCCTATTCAAAACGGTTTCTGGACGCAGATGGTGTCCACCTCTTTTAAAAGAGGCTATCCTGGGAAAACCTCCCACCTTTCTTCCTTCTGTCAAGGGTGCCCACTCGGAACAAGAACAGCACGCCAACTTGTGACTTCAGACGTACTGGAAAGTGGGAGGGGATGGGTGGAGGTTCCAATCAGGCTGGCCACAGGAAAGCACCTAGTGGCTGGAGCGCTCTTAGGGCGATACAGGCAACGGGGTCTGGGGCAGCTTGTTGCGATGTTTAAGGAAACAGAGAACCAAAGCCTACCTAAGAGGGGAAATGAAAGCAAAATGCTGACATTGCTACTGAGGACAAACTGAAACAGAGAGGTGGGTGAGAAGGGGGCGGGGGCCACAGGCAGCAATTTGAGGTTCTTTATTCTCTATGGAAGAAAATCCTCATGAGTAATCTTTTCCCTAAACACAAAAAGAGTCACACACTCCCAACAACACTGCAGGGCAAGAATAACAGTTTCTCTTCTCACTTCCCATTAATCTCTCCCACAGCTCAGCCTTGAAGCAACCAAGGCCACAGAGCTCGGAAACCCCCTCCCCAGGAGCCCACACGGAGGCTCTGGGCACGTGAACAGCAAGCTGGACGGCAGGTTACAGAGAGCACTTGGCCGCTAGACAACAGTGACCCTGATGCTGCCAGCAACCTGCGTGGAGGACACTCAGGAAATCGATCAGCCTCACTGTGCTTCCATTAGCGTGAGGAGAAGGTGGACAGCTCACTGAGCCAGAGACAGGCTTGCTATGCAGTCCTGTTGCAAGTCAAGTCCCTCTGCTATTTCTTTTTTTTAATTCAATGGGATAAAAAGGCTAGGATATAGCATGTGCTTTGTAATTTTAACAGGAACAACAACAACAACAAAAAGAACCCATTCCCTTCAAGGGCCCTAAAGCTCCCTATGTTGACGTGTGTAACGGGATAGGGCTGGTACCTGGGGGTAACTCTGGTGTGACGGAGGCCATTTGATTTACTAAACAGTCATATACGCACGTCTACACACCTAGCACTGTTCAGAGCATTTCAGGAATAGCAGTCCGTTTAACTGCATGCTTGCACAACTGCTGAGATGGAGGCGCCAACTAGGAAATGGAGGCCTGATGCATTTAAGGGATTCACCCCATGCCTGTACGATTCTAGCAACAAGTGGAGCTGAGATCTGAATCCAAGGACTCTGATGCCAGAATCTGCTTTCTTACCCAGGCATTTTCCATCCACACTCAGAACTAAGACTGGCTTTCAAAAAGACTGAGGAAATCGACTCCTTCCCACCCAGCACCGAGATCCTTGGCAGAGGGAAGTTATCAGCAGATTGAAGATAGGGGGAAAAAAAAACCTCTGCAGATCCCAGGGAGACAGATTTATGGCTAGGAGGAGGAGGGAGGGGCATGTGGGACACTATCGAATGTGTCTGGGAAGAAAGTGCTTTTTTTCACAGGCTGCTCAGTACTGACACTGGCTCTTGACTTCTTGCCCAAGTCCCAGCTGTGGGTGGGACGAAGGCTGCCTGGGAAGGGAAGGGTGTATAAGACTGGTTTCCCAGTCAGTTCTGGCAATTTGGCTCAACAAAGAAAGAATTTACATGTTAATGACTAGGAATGAGGGAGGAAGGGAGAGGGAAAGAGGGAGACAGACAGACAGATGTGTGTGTGTGTGTGTGTGTGTGTGTGTGAGAGAGAGAGAGAGAGAGATCGCCTCTTTGATATTATCCTATGTGTACCAATGTGCCACAAAAGCCATTTAACTACGACCAGCATTCTTAACACACCAATTACTTTTCAGAGAGTACTTGGTGAGAATTTTGTATGGCGGAACCAAACTACTATGAGAAAATTATTAAGACTCCCACAGGCCTAAGGAGGTGCAGTAAAGTTCGTGGGCTCACACCCTCCAGTGATACAGCCATACATTCATTCATACATACATACATGATCCATCCATACATTCAATTCCATGTTCAACGATGGCCACCACATCCATCAGGGCCTCCTCAGTCCATGCCCAGCTTTCTGAGTTATGCCTAAACTAATGGTGGAAAGCTGACCGGGAGTCAGGAGCTGGGTTCTTCACACATCTGTGGCTAGTGAGCATGAGATTCTGGAAAGAACACTTTGTTGTTTTCTCGATCAACAGCTTCATCTGTAAAAATATTGGGCTGAAAGTGTGTGACCAACTAGTTCCGGCAGGGTTTAATATAGCCAGAGTGCACCTATGGAATTTGAACCTTAAACACCAAACAATTCAGCCAGCCAGGATGTATGTTTTCCTACAAAACTACTTTACATTCGTGATCATGATCCTAAGATTTTGGAACTTCTTGAAGGTCCTTCTGAGTGCTTAAGAGTGTGTTGCTATGTTCTAATTCTTTGCAAAGTTGTCAGCCAGCATGACAATGCTGAGCTGCCCCATAACAGCTTGCCCCTTCCAAGTCCATAGGTGCTATCCACGAGTTAACTCCTCTAGTTCATGAGAGCCCTGCAATTGGCTGGGTTCTCATTTCAGTTTAACAGATGAGAAAATGGAGGGCTCAGAGATGGTGGACATGGTTTGAACATTACTATGTTCAAGTTTCTTTAGTGTGTGTGTGTTGTGTGTGTAGTGGTGGTGTTTGAAAAGGAACCCAGGGCCTCAGACACGGTCAGCAATTGTTCTGTTCCTGAGCCACACCCCAGCTCAAGGCCTTTCACCACTACAGCCTTTGGCAAAGACATCTTTTCACATCGAATAATGTAATGTATTTACAGGAGTTTGCTATGCAATCCATGCACTGGAAGGCGGAAGTCGAGAATGTGAGGGACGGAGATGCCACATCAATGCTCTGACTCAACCCCGGTCTCCATGTCTGATTAGAAAACCAAAGCCTGGAAAAGCTTTTCCATACCCCGCCGGTCGACCGGCCGCAGGGATCCATGTGACCTCATCACTTGACTCGATGACAGCAACATGACCCCTGACCTAGTCATGACCAGTGACTAATCCTTCCTTGCTTGGTCATCTTGTCTATAATAAGCAAGCTAGAACTACAGTTTTTGGAGCACGCACACATATG